GAGGTAACATCTTTGATTATGTAATATCTAATAATACAAAAGCAGAGATTCAAAGAAAACCTTTATAGTTTCCAAATTTCTCCTCTGCTGCTCAAAAAGTACTAACACCATCTTCTTCACATAGTAGATAGGGAAACAAACTTGTGAAGCACATATTGTACATATTTAATAGTTTTTAAGCCTGTGCCGATTAAAGTTAATTACCAAATTAAGATTAAAAAATAATTTTGATTCAATGAGTGAGATTTTCTTTTATGATAAACCTTTCAAATACTGTACGAGAGCTATGCCCTTTAATGAAAAAGTGAGAAAACACACAAACCTTTAATGTCCTAATTGATATCACTCAAATTAGTTCTAAATTTTGGTGGGTTTTCAAAAGCAAACCCAACACAAAGAACGAAAATACCAATTTCTGTGTAAAGCCTCCCCTGACACCCACAGGCAGGCCTGCTCTTCCTTCCATCCACTTGCAAGACGGGCTGAAGACCCTTTGGCTGCATTTCTTTTGATCACCATTTGTGAATTCTGCAAATACAGTGATTGTATCCATTTATATTATATTCTTCAGAATCTAAACCACATTAGGTGCTTAATAAATGTCAGCTCATTGAATGAATGCAGTTCATTAAAAGCTAAATAAAAGACTGCAAGATACAGGCAGTAAAGGGTAGAGAGAGGAAAAAAAAGAATACTGAATGGAAATGAAAATAGTTACTTCCTGTATATGAACTTAGGGAAGTCATTCAGCATTCCTGTTGCCTCAGTTTCTTCATTTATCAAATAAAAAAGCTGAACAAGATTATCTCTAATATCTATTTTTAAATATTTTAAGTAAAATGGTCATCATTCTATGTATAAATATTCTCATAGACTAAACACTCTCTTATCCAACCTTCACTGAACCAAATCACCAAATTAACCAAAGTTTTCTGCCACTCTGAAAAACAATATTCTGAGCAAAGGTTGTCAGACTTCAGGGGGCCTCAAATAATCTGTTAAAACACGGATTGCTGAGTCCCACCTCTGGAGCTTCTGACTCGGTAAGTCTGGGTTAAGATCCATGAAGTTACAATGCTAACAAGTTCCCAGGTGATGCTGGTGCTTTTGGCCCAGAGATCACACGTGTGAGAAAGCCTGCTATACAGTAAGTGCCCTTTCTAGTCCCCTTCTATCAGTTGAGCTATTTGATTAGCAAAGGTCAGTTTCCCAAATCTATTTAGTCCAGTTGAAATTGTTTATGATAGTTAAAGAGCTAATTAATTAATTAATTAATTAAAATTATGTAGTTTATTGCATGTCAATTATACCTCAATAAAGTATATAAACAACACACAAGCAACATACATACATACATACCTAACCAAACTGCTAAAATTAATAAGACCGACCAAATCAAGTTTTATGAGGACATGAAACAACCATAATTCTCATAAATTCTTGGTAGGAATGCAAAGTGGTCTGAACATTCTGATAAAACGTTTGGCAATTTCTTATAAAACTAAACACACATCAGCTCTATGACCAAGTAATTCCATTCCTTATTATTTACCCAAAAGAAATGAAAACACAAGAGATTGTTCAAGAAAGTTGTAAATAGTTTTATTCATAATAGCTAAACTGGAAACAGTCCGTCAGCAGAAGGATGGATAAACAAAGGGAAGCACCTATTTCTCTACGATGGAGCACTGAAAAGGCAAAGCTCATCTCTGACGTAAGAAGCACAACAATGATCGCCTCTTGGGGCTGTACAGAACGAGAAATGAAGACATTTCCTGAGGTGATGACATAATATTCTAGATCTTGAGAGGGTTTATTTTACTTATACAGAGATGTACATTTGTCAAAATTCATAGAATGGTGAGTATACTTAAGATTTGTGCATTTCATTGTAAATTTTATTTCAAAATGAATAAAATAATTATAAATAAATTTTGAACTCTAATGACATGCGAGCTCAAGTATTTGGTGATAGAATATACTAATATCTGCTACTTTAAAATGCATCCAAAAGATGGCTTGACGGATGGTCAGACATGTGATAAAGGCATATGTAAAGAAACAGAAAATTAACAGAATCTAAGTGGTGAGTATTCATTGTACAATTCTTCCCACTCTTCTTTATGTTTGAAAAGTTTCATAATAAGATGTTTTTGGGGGGAGGGGATTTTTTTTTATCAGCTTGTAAGATAGTAGTGATTCCACTTTTTGCATATTTATGTATGTTCACGGACATGCATATATGAATTGTATGTTATGCATATATTTAGGTATGTTGTACCATGCTCACTGTCAATCAGATCCTTCCAATTCACTTAAAAAAACACAACACACAAGTTCCTCCTATTCCTTAATGATACAAAACAAACAAAAAAGAAACTCCCTCAAAATCCCATCCTCTTCAGCTACTAGTAGGTCTCTTGTTTCCTTTCAAAGCCATATTTCTTAAAGAGGTGAGGCTACTCGCTGTGTCCAAGTCTTCACCTACTTCTTCCTGGTTTGTAACTCTGAAATTCCAGCAAAATGGCTTTTGCTCAAGATAACAATGATTTCCATGTCACTAGATTAAATAAACATTTTTTAATCCTCATCCCTTGAAGAATGAAAAATATTAAATTTGCCTACTTTTAAATTTGAAATGAGGGAGATACATTTTATTTGGTATAATAAAGCAAGCTTCTTTTTTTTTGAAGAAGAAGAAGAACTCAATTTCATATTATGGCCAAGTTAGAATGTAAGGAGGAGGAAACTTAAGGGATGATAACAGAAAAATGAAAAAGGAAAAAAATAAAGAAGATAATACTACAGTTCAAACAGTAAATGTCAATGGTCTATTTTCATGGACCTAATTCTACTGCATTTTTAAATACTAGTGACCTCATTAACATGACATTTCTTCAACAGTTAATGAGGTCACTAGTTCATTAGTATATACACTGAGTCGCCAGATTATTATGACCACCTGACATTTGTAGGCAAATTAGCCGTACACTACATCATATGGGATATGGAAGCCGAAGGCCTGTTCGAACACCTTTGCTGTCTGCAGTTACCAAGATAAAACGTCTCCAATTCGCACAGGAACACAAGGATTGGACAGTCGAGCATTGGAAAA